TCTGGCACACGAAGAATTCAAAATACGTATTTTAAGAAAATTCAGGTGACTTCAAGAAAACGCAGATAAATAATTCAGAGATTTATCAACAGAGAAATTGAAATAATAATTAAACGTCAAAGAGAAATCTTTGAGCTGAAAAGAGCAACAAGTGCCATAGGAAATGCAATAAAGACCACCGATAGAAGTATTGGTCCCGCAGAAGAAAAGGTCAGGGAGCTTGAAGACAGGATGCTCAAAAATACGGTCAGAGGAGAAAAAAGAAAAAAGGATGAGAAAGAACAAGGAAATCTTATGACATCTATGTGACGCCATCAAAAGATCAAATCTGTGTATCGCTAGCATTCCAGAGGCCCTGCATAGTGAAAAGGGGGCAGAAAGTTTATTCAAAGAAATAATAATGGAGAACTTTCCAGACCTGGAGGAAGATACAAATATCGAGGTACAGGAAGGTCAAAGATAACCAATTAGATTCAACTGAAATAAAAATGCCCCAAGACACATTATAATCAAACCCTCAGCGGTCAGACAAATGGAGAATACTGGAAGCAATGAGGGAAAAGAAGCAAATAGCACACGAAGGAACCCTATTACACCTGGCGGCAGACTGCTCGGCAGAAGCCCTAAGGGCAGGAGGGAGTGGGGCGATATATTCAAAGTGCCCACCAAGAATACTGTTCCCAGCAAAGCCGTCCTTCAGAAATGAAGAGAGAAAAACATTTCCAGACAAATAAAGCTGAGGGAATTTATTACAAGCAGAACTGCCTTACAATACATGCTAAAGGGAGTTCTGCAAACCAAAAGGACATTGATGTGTAACAGAAAAAATATCTGGAGGTATAGTGCACAGGAAAAAGCCAGTATCCAAGCAAAATCAGAACACTCTAACATGGTCATTGTGAGATGTAAACCATTTATATCCTCACTACAGAGGTCACAAGACAAAATACATAAAAATACTAACAATGAAAATAATTTTTAGGGTATAAGTAAGATAAAAAGATGTAAAATGTGGCCTCAATATGGGGGAATATAAGAGTTAGAAAAAAAAAAAAGAGCATCTTTTTACTTCATTCATGATCAAAATTAGGATCTGTTGCTTCAGAATAACCTGTTACGACTATAAAGATGGTCTTTGTAAGCGTTACGGTGACCACATAGCAAAAACTTTTAATGCATATACTAAAAATAAAAAGCCAGAAATCAAAACGTACTGATAGAGAAAACGTCTTGACCACAAAGGAGCACAGTAAGAGAGGAAGGAAACAGCAAGTGTTCTACAAAACAACTAAAAACTAAGTAACAATATGGCAGAGTGCCACTCACTTTAAGCACAACTACCCTAGGGTCCAGGATTCGACTCCTGCATACCAAGGTGTCCCCGAAGGAGAGACATGCTCCCATAAAGATGTTTATCAAACCTCCCCAGTGGTCACAGTTTGACAACAGAGTCTGAGTCGTGACCAGCTGCACATGTTTTTACAAAATCCTTGCCCTATAGAAGATATTTTCTAAAGGGTGGCGCAGAGAGTCACCATCTCCAGCCACCAGAGACGTGGCAGCACCAAGTCCTTACCTATCGATAATTACCTTGAATGTAAATTCGTTAAATTCTCCAACTAAAAGACGTAGAGTGGTTGAATGAAATGACAAAACAAGGCCCAACTATATGTTGCCTGAAAGAGACTCATTTCATCTGCTGGGACATTTAGAGACTGAAAGTGATTGAAAAAGACGTTCCATCCAAATGTCAGTGAAAAGAAAGTAGGAGTCTGTTTTCTTATATCAAACGAAGCAGACTTTAAGTCAAAAACCATAAAAAGGCCGGCACGGTGGCTCATGCCTGTGATCCTAGCGCTCTGGGAAGCCAAGGCGGGTGGATCGTTTGAGCTCAGAAGTTCGAGACCAGCCCGAGCAAGAGCGAAACCCTGTCTCTACTAAAAGTAGAAAGAAATTAGCTGGACAACTAAAACTATATAGAAAACCTTAGCTGGGGATGGTGGCGCACGCCTGTAGTCCCAGCTACTCAGGAGGCTGAGGCAGAAGGATCACTGGAGCCCAGCAGTTGGAGGTTGCTGTGAGCTAGGCTGATGCCACGGCACTATAGCCCGGGCAACAGGGTGAGACTCTGTCTCAAAACAAACAAACAAACAAACAAACAAACTATAAAAAGAGCCAGACAAGGCCATGACGTAATGATAAAGGAGGATATAACAATCGTAACTATATATGAACCCAACATCAAAGCGCCTTAATATATAAAGAAAACATTAATAGATCTGAAAGGAGAGACAGACAACAATAACATATGAGCGGACTTCAAGACGCCACCTTAAGCGATGGACAAGCCAGTCAGGACAGGAAATTGACAAACATCAAATTTAAACTGCATTCAAGACCACATGGGCGTCAAAGGTATTTACCGGACATTCTATTCAATAGCTGCAGAATTCACATTCTTCTCAACTGCACAGGAAACACTCTCCAGGATAGATAACATGTTAGTCCACAAAACGAGTTTACCAAATTGAAGTCATACCAAGTATCTTTTCTGAACATAATGGGATAAAACTGGAAATCAATAACCAGGGGAACTGCACAAATATATGGAAACACACTGCACCCTGCACAAATGTATGGAAAATGCACAAATATATGGAAACTAAACGACATGCCACTGAGATACCAACAGGTCAATAAATAAAAGAGAAAATAAAATTTGTTTACAGAAATGAAAATGGAAACACAATACACCAAAATTTTTGAGATACAGGAAAGAGAAGTCAGTGGAGGGAAGTTTATAGCAATTCTTTACAAACTATTTCAAAAAACTTCTCAGGGAAGGAACTCTTCCAAACTGAGTCTGTGAGGTCAGCGTTATCCTGACACTAAAATCAGACAAGGACACAACAAAAACAGAAAACTACAGGCCACTATTCCTGACGGACACAGAAGTGGAAATCCTTGGAAAAGGACTAGCAGTTAGAGTTCAACGGCACATTCGAAAGACCATTCACCTTCCTCAAGAGGGACTGGTCGCGGGGCTGCAAGGATGGGCTAACACAGGCAAATCAATGAATGTGATACATCACATTTGTTCCGTGATGAGCAAGTATATGGAAACCTACCCCCAAAGACTGAGGCAGCTGAGAGGCTGGAGAAAGAGGCTGACAAATCCGGTGTCTCAGAAAGAAACGTTTAAGAGGGACTTACAAACAGCAGTGACGTCTCTGGTGGCTGGGAGATGGTGACTCTCTGCACCACCCTTTAGAAAATATCTTCTATAGCGCAAGGATTTTGTAAAAACGTGTAGCTGGTCACGCCTCAGACTTTGTTGTCAAACTGTGACCACTGGAGAGGTTAGATAAACATCTTTGGGGGGGGGTGTCTCTGCTGCGGGGACACCTTGGTATGCAGGAGTCGAATCCTGGTCCCTAAGATAGTTTTGCTTAAAGTGGGTGAAACTCTTGCCATGAAATGGCTGGTTTCCTACACTCCACCTGTGGTCAGTAAGGAAAGTCACTTTCTGACAGGCCCAGGAACCTCAAGATACTTGGGGACCTCCGAAGAGGGACATTTGCCCGTTTGCACAGGTATTGCAGGCACAGTCTGGCGGCAAGTCCCTGGCTTGTCTGTCCAGCCTCTGGAGGACTTGGAAAGTGTAATCCTCGATGCCTTGTGAAAGTTCCAACAAAGCCAACTTTTAAAATGCCTCTATGGCCAATTATTATTCTTGCTGCACTTTATACAAATACTCGGACTGAGTATAGTAAGACTAAATCTTATTTTGCAAATAAATTGCCCTTACTGTGATTTCTCTTTGGTAGAAAAGGGGTGGCTAGAGAAAGAAAAGTTATGTTTTAGGGGAGAGCTACAGCACACTTGATATTAGATTCTAGTCCTGAGCATTGTTTTTGAGTTTTTATTTCTTTCTCTTTTGTATTCCTTGACGGGGAACTGAACCCAGGCTAGCAAGGAGAAAGCTCAGAATCTTAACCATCAGACTCCAAGGTAAACTGGCCTCTGCCGTCACCCCCATGGGGGCAGCGTACAGAGGGTTTTTCCGTTTGTTTTAGATCAGACATAAGCTCTTTGACTGTGTCAAGAGAATTTTTAAGGCTAGCCATAGTACGATCGTGTGTCCTTCCTTTAATCCAATTCTTCTAATACAAAAGGCAATTGTTTAGAATAAGAGATCTCTAAAATCCATCTTTTATTTAAAGGATCTATCTTTTGGCCGTTAATTTTCAATCATGTGCTCGTTCGAAAGCAACTTAATCTAACACTTTTTCCAGAGGAGAAACAATTCCAAAGATACCCTCATTCCCCAGAAATAGACTATGACAGAGATGTCAAAGGCCCTTTGTGAATGGGACCTTATGTGACAAACAATGCAGAAGACCTTACCTCTGGAAGCAAGAAGGAATCATACACATGAGTTTATATCACAAAGGACCAATCGGCACTGCATTAAGGCCAGACATGTAGGCCCTTTTTCTCCCATTAATCACAGCAGACAGCAATTTCTACTGCCTTTCCGCCTGGAATGTGCACGGAGGCCCGGGTCCCTGGTGACGGAAGTTGTTTTTAACCGTTTTTGCTGCCTGACCAGGTTCTTGGATTTTTCCTCCACTGCAGTTTTTCAAGAGAACAGAGGGACTCTAAACTGTAGGGAACAAAGCCCTTTTCCCCATAACAGTTTGCTGGGGAAAAAAAAAAAAAAATCACTGACATGAGGCGAATTCATTAATTGCATAAAAAGAATATTTAATCCATTCTTAGCATGTATACACGGGAGCCTTAAGAATGATAACCTAGCAAAATGTGTTCAGGAAGGAGAATAGGAAGAGGCTGGCAAAGGGGGTCACGTTACGCAGATAAAGTCAGTTAATAGTCCTCAGAGTAAATGTCTCTCTTTAAAACTGTAAAGGTGTGGGGACTCTGGTTTACTCTCTCCTAGTTTGGTCTTGGCCATATTAATGAAGATTCTCTCTCTACAGGCATACGAAGACATCTGTGGAGATGTCTACAAAGACAGCTAGTAGCAGCCGTCTCAAAATAAGTCAAAGAAGTATGTCTTAGGGTAAGCTATTTTGATTTTTTTGACCAGCTGGTGGGTTGCAGCTGTGGGGGTTTTAGTCCATTTCCGGGACCTCATTTTCCATAATTATTTAGTCAAATCTAATGTAAAATAAGACTAAAACCAAAAGCAGAAAAAAGAGTGATTGCACAATCAACATGTTATTGAGATCTCTAAGCAAAAGGACAGGTCACAGCTGTCATAGTCCGAAGTGGGAGAAAAGACCACCCTAGAAACTGAATTGGGCCCAATCGTGAGTCTTTATTTACTGGCCAGGACTACTCCTGTCCTGCATAGTGGCAGGCACAGAAAAGTAGTGGTGATGAGAAGGGAAACATGGCCCCTTTTTAAAGGCAAAAACCCACACTCTAAAAATCTAATTAGCAAGCACTTTTACAAAAGCGAGCGAAAGCATTAATCTTACATTTCTATCGTGTTTTAGCACAGTCGGAGGGCGGGGGCGGGTTGGGGCCTTGAGATGGGTTTTGTAGGAGTCACCAGCTGCAGCTAAGATTCAGCCGAGAGGAAGCCTCTGGAGTACCCTAAGTACGGACAGCATTAATCTTCGTGGAAGTACATCCTGCATCCTGTGATCTAAGCCCCAGCACATTTCACTAGGTACACGAAGCATGTCAGGCGCCTCGGGGGTCCCTGGACTAGCGGCTATATATTACGGGCAGTTGTGCCATGCACCACCGCCCTTCCCCTTAGTTCCTAAACTTAATCACCCTAGCAGAGGGGAGATGGCAGGTGCAGGGTCAGATAAGGGTCAACTGAAAATTTCTCACACTCCTAAGCAAGCAAGCAAGCAGGCAGGCATAATACAGAAGCTGATGGCTGGTTATTGGCTACCTATGGTCCCTAGGCCCTAACAACAGCCAGTTGAAAATAAACCTTAACGCTCAGCTATCGAATTCTAAAACAAAACCCCAGACCAGCCTCTCACCCGGAGTGGGGCCCAAGTGGAGGCTGCTCTCAACCAAAATGGAGGCAGGAGACTCGCCTTCCTCATCGGAAGTGAGCAAAACTGCCCTAGAGGAGTTGCATGGCAGAATAAACCTCAGATCTCAACTGAAACCTTGAGAGATTGGAGATCTCTGCAGGGAGTGGCCAGAACCTCCCTGAACCGCCTAATTGATCAGAGCAGGAAGGAGCTCTAGCTGCTACCAAAAGCACCAACTAGAAAAGTCGCTACAGGTAAAAAAAACCGCCAAACTCCTCTCAGCGATCCCTTGATGGTTACCATTTGTAACTTAAGTAAGTGGCAGGAAGCGAGAGTCACACTCAGCTGAGGTTTATTCAGTCAAGATTTTGAAAACACAAACTGCAGACAAGTTGTGGCTGTTTTTCCGAATGGGAAGTCGGAACCTACAGCATTTAAAGGGAACAGAGAGAAGGAAAAAGTTAGGGGCGGTGCTGATGAGGCAAAGTGGTTACATTCTCTTGAGGCCCAGGAAATCTACACCTCACATAAAACAAGGGGACGTTAGAGGGGAAATATGTGTGCCTTTACAGGTACGTTTTTGTAGGCAACATATGGCTGGATCTTGTTATCTTTTATTCACTCAGTTAGCCTGTATTTTTTAATTGGGGGAATTTAATCCGTTTATCTTCAAGGTTATTATTGATTGGTAAGGACTTGTTCACAAAACAGTAATAGTAGGAGACCTCAACATACCACTCTTAGAGTTAAACAGATCATCTGGAAAGAAAATCAACAAAAAATATCAGATTTAAACTTCACCATGGACCAATGGACCTAACACAGGCTTACAGAATATTGAACCCAATAGCACAGAATACACATTCTTTTCATCAAAATGTGGAACAGTCTCTAGGTTCACCATAAGTTAGAACACAAAACTGGTCTCAAAAAATTTGAAGAAATTGAAATCACAACAATTATTATCTGAATGCAAAGGAGTAAAGCTAGAAATAAATAATAAGAGGAATATTCATAACTATGCAAATAAAGAAAAACCAAACAACATACTCCTGAACAAGCAATGGGTGAAGGCAGAAATTTGTAAGAAATGTTAAAATTCCTTAAAACAAATGAAAAGCAAAACACAACATACCAATAGCTATGAGACATAGAGAAAAATATTGAGAAGCAAGTTTATAGCAAAAAAATGCCTATATCAAAAAAGTACAAAGATTTTGAATAAACAACCTAAGAATGAATCTCAAGGAACTAGAAAGCAACAAAAAAACAAAGCCAAAAGTAGTAGGAGGAAAGAAATAATAAAGATCAGAGCAGAAATAACCAAATTTGAGGCCAGAAAGTACAAAAGAAAGTACAAAAGTCAAAGAAACAAAGAGTTGGTTTTTGAAAAAGATAAACAAATCAACAAACCACAAATTGGACTTTAGAAAAAGAGAGAACGAGACACAGAGGACCCAAATAAATGAAATCAGAAGCAAAAAAGGAGAAACCACAATGGATACCTTGAAAACACAAAGAATCATTACAGACTATTTTGAAAAATTACATGCCAAGAAATTTGAAAACCTAAAGCAATTGAATACATTCCTAGACACATAAAACCTACCAGCACTGAATCAAGAAGAAAGATAAAACCTGAGCAGACCAATAACAAGGAAAGTGATTGAATAATTACTAGTCTCACCAAAACGAAAAGTAAAAGACCAGATTGCTTCACTGCTGAAGTCTACCAAAATTTTAAAGAAAAATTAATACCGATTCTTCTCAGACTATTGAAAAAATTCAAAGCAGAGGGAGCTCTTCCTAATTCATTCTACAAGAACAGTTTATCCTTGACACCCAAACCAGACAAAAACACAACAGAAAAAGATAACCACAGGCCAATATGCACGATGAATAGAGATGCAGAAATCCTCAATAAAATTCAAATGAGCTGAATCCAACAACATATCAGAAAGATCATACACCATGATTTATCCAGGGATGCAAGAATGATTCAATATATGCAAATCAGTAAATGTGATACATTGCATCAACAGAATGAGGGACAAAAGCCATATGATCAATTCAGTATATCCAGAAAAAGCACTCAGTAATAGTCAATATCCCTTCAATAAAAAAAAAACAACCTCTCAATAAATTAATTATAGAAGAAAAGTACCTCAACAGAATAAAGACCACCTATGACAAACCCACAGTTAATGTCATACTGAAAAAATGAAATTTGTTCAGCTGGGTACAGTGGCTTACACTGGTAATCCCAGCACTTTGGGAGGACAAGGCAGGAGGACTGCTTGAGGCCAAGAGTTTGAGACCAGCCCGAGCAACATAGCCAGAATCTGTTTCTACAAAAATAACGACAAGCATCCAAGTATGATAGCACATACCTGTAGTCCCAGCTACTCTAGAGGCTGAGGCAGGAGGATCCTTTGAGCCCAGGAGCCTCAGGTTACAGTAGGCTGTGATCACAACACTGCACTCTGGCCTGGATGACAGAGTGAGACTCAGTCTCTAATATATATATATATATATATATATATATATATATATATGATTTTCTTCTAAGAACTGGAACCAGATAAGAATGTCCACCCTCGCCACTCATATTCAAAATACTACTAGAAGTCCTAGGCAAGAGGAAGAAATAAAAGGCATCAATTTGGAAAAGAATAAGTGAAATTATGTCCCTGTTTGCATATAGCATGATCTTATACATGGAAAAACCTGAATACTCAACCAAATAAATTTTAGGACTGATAAATGAATTGAGTGAAATTGCAGGATACAAAATCAAGATACACAAACCAGTAGCATTTCTATAAACAAACAACGTACTAGGTGAAAAAAATATAAAGAAGTCAATCCCATTTGCAATAAGTACAAACAAAATATAATACCTAGAAATAAATTTAATGGAAAAGATGAAAGACCTCTACAGAGAAAACTACAAAACACTGATAAAAGAAATTGAAGAGGATACATACAAATGAAAAGACGTCCAATGCTCATGGATCAGAAGAACTGATATTGTTAAAATGATCATACTACTCAAAACTATCTGGAAATTCAATGCAATCTTTACCAAAATCCCAATCACATATTTCCAAGATATAGGAAAGAAATTCTAAAATTTGCATGGAACCAGAGAAGACCTCAAATAGCCAAAGAAATCCTGACCAAGAAGAACAGACCTGGCAGCATCACACTGCAGTGCTATTTAATGGTCTACACTCAAGCCTTTACAGTCCAGGCACTTTTTGAAAAACCTTTGTCCTCATTTGAGGAGCTTTCTTGTCAGGTTTTTGTGTTTGTTTTCGTGGGTATTTACCTCATTCCACCCCCAAGCTTTGCAGGTAGACAGATGAGATTCAAAAGGCGGTTCTAAGGTGGTTATTGTGTGTTCTAAGGCGGTTATTGTACTGGAATAATTGGTTTGCAGTCATAAGTCACACTTTTCCACTAACGAGGAGAGGGCGGCAGTCGATAAGAGAAGCTAAAGTTCAGTTAGATGCATTCCTTGATCAGAAATTTTACCTTTGCATTTTGTTGCTTTTTATCCTGAAAATAACTTGGAGATGCTCCTGGTTTATCCATCCACTTCTTGATTCCTTGGAGTGCACCCACTGTTTCGCTTTAGGAAAAAACCAAAGAATTATTACAGAAGTCTATATTTTGCAGCTACCCTTTTTTAAGAAGTACATTCTCCAAATTAAACAATTTATACACACACACACAGAGTACAAAACTATATAAACCAAACAGCGTGGTGCTGGCATAGAAATAGACATATAGACCAATAGAACAGAACAGAGAACCCAGATGTTAATCCACATATCTACAACCAACTGATTTTTGAAACAAGTGCCAAGAACATTTACTGGGGAAAGGACATTCTCTTCAGTAAATGATGCTAGGAAAACTGGATGTCCACATGGAGAAGAATGCAACTAGATTCCACCTCATATTCTATGCAAAAATCAACTGAAAATGGATTCAAGACCTAAATGTAATACCCAAAACTATGAAACTATCACTAGAAATCACTAGAGGAAACACCTTAGGATATTGGTCTGTGAGAAGATTCTGTGAATAAGATCTCAAAAGCACAGGGAAATAAAAGCAAAAATAAACAAATGTGACTACATCAAACTAAAAAGCTTCTGCACAGCAAAAGAAGCAATCAAAGTTTCCTGCAGAATGGAAGAAAATATTTTGAAATTATGCACCTGACAAGGGGTTCGTATTTAAAATTTACCAGGAACTCAAACAGCTCAACAGCAAACAACCAAACAAATAATCTCATTATGAAGTGGGTAAAAGATCTGCATAAACATTTTTCTAAAGAAGATATACAGATGCCCAAGAAGCATATGAAAAAAATGGTCAACATCACCAATCAACAGGGAAATGAAAATAAAACCACAATGAGGTATCATCGCATCCTAGTTGAAATGGCTATTATCAAAGAGACAAACAGTAACAAATGCTAGTGAGGATTCAAAGAAAAGAAAGGAACTCACGCACTTTTGGTGGGCATGTAAAATAGTGCGACCACTATGGAGAATGGTATGGAGTTTTCTCAAAAATCTACAAATAAAACTACACTATGATACAGATACCCCACTACTGAGCATTTATCCAAAGGAAATATCCAAAGGAAATATCCAGTATATCGAGAGAATCTGTAGTCTTTTGTCTATTGTGACATTACTCACAATAGGCATGATATGAAAGCAACCCCAAGTGTTCATCAGTGGCTGAATGGATAAAGAAAAGGCAGTGTGTGCCCCTAATGGAATACTCTTCAGCCACAAAAAGAATAAAATCCTGTCCTTCATGTCAACATGAGTGGAGCTGGAGGACGTTAGGTTAAGTGAAATTAGCAAAGAACAGAAAGATAAACATTGCACGTTCTCTCTCATATGTGCAAGCGACAAAAAGCTGATCTTGTGGAAGTCAAAGAGAAACCAGAGTATACTAGAGGCTGGAAATGGTGGGAGGATGTGGGGACTAGAGCGAGGTTTGTTAAAGGAGCAAAAAAGTCACAGCTAGAAAGGAGCAGTAGGTTCTAGTGTTCTACAGCACTTGGCACGGCTGTCGATAATACGGATAACAGGAATACAGTTTATAGTTTCTCATAGTCAGAAGGAGGACATCGAATGCACCCAATACACAGAAATGGTAAATGTTTGAGAACACGAGCATGCTAATTTCCACCTTCCAACCACTGTGCATTTCATAAATCGAAATCACAGTATGGACACCATAATTCAGTTACAAATAAAACAGGACAGAGAACGTGGTGTGTATGCACGGTGGAATGTTATCCATCCAGCGAAAACAATGAACTATTGTCCCTTGCAGCAGCAAGGGTGGCGCTGGGGACATCGTGTTATGCGAAGCCAGCCGGCATGAAAGGACAAGTGTCACACGTTCTCCCTCACGTGGGAGCTAGCAAAGTGACTCTCCTGGAGGAAGAGAGTGCAACGGTGGCTCCCAGAGTGTGGGAAGGAGGGAGGAGGCAGGAAGGGAAGTTTGTCGGTGGGAACGAACACTCCGGTGCAGAACAGGACGAAGCCCGGTGCTTGGTTGGGCAGTGGGGAGACTGCAGGCAACAGAGATGTATTCACCACTGGAAACAGCCAGGCGTGAACTGGAACGTTCCCAACACAAAGAGAAAACAAAAGTTTAGCGATTGCCAAATAAATGTTAGCGTGGGAAGGATTTCAAAACTACCCTAGTTTGATCGTTGTACGTTGTATACATGTATCAAAACATCACATGTACCTGCAAAGTACGTACAACTATTACATATCAATTCTTAAAAAGGCTCCAATTAGTGGATTTAACAAGAACCCCCTTCCACGGTTGATGTCCCTCTAAGTAAGTTTTTCTTCCATGGAGCCCAGCTATCTTTGTCGTATCATGGGTTGACCCCAATTTCTCTCCCCTGTTGTTGCCACAGACGCGACACGTGTCTCAGCAGTCCGGAATCCAGTTGTCCTTGCCATGGTGACAAGCGAGAAATACTTTTATCTTAAAACTGGTTGGAATTTGAACTTGAAGCCTTCCAATTTTATATTCCATGTTAAGTATCTGTGAACATAATCGCACCTCAAACAAGCAAAATGCGGCCTGCATGCCATGTGGGTCAGGAGCGTGCGCGGTGCAAGTTTCCCTTTTCTGCGTAGCCAGTCACCGCCGACCCCGAGGCTCAGAGGAACAGGCGTTCGCCAGCTGCCAGCTCTTCAGGTCAGAAATCAGTGTGGGTCCTGTGTGTGTGGCCTCCAGGTCCCAGCCCTCCTGGGCTGCTTCTAGAGGCTCTGAGAAGAACCCACATCTCAGCTCCTCCAGGCTGGTGGCAGAATTCGGAGCCTTGGGGTGGTAGGACTCTCTCCGGCTGCCAGGCGGGGGCACTCTCAGCCCCTGGATGCCAGGGTCCTGCTCTCTGCACTTGGGACCCGGTGCCTGCGAGTCTCCTCTGAGTCACCCTTTCCTTTCCTGGAAGGTGTCCTCTGGGTGCAGCTGAGTAGGGCCACAGCCAGCTCCCGCAGGAGGCTTTTAAGGTCTAGCCATGCCCTTCACTCTCACACTGCCCCGCCTCTGGCAGCACAGGCTTGCGGTGTCTCTGTTGATCTAAAACTCTCTAGGAGGGCCAGGATTAGCCGGATCATGCCAAGGTCAAATGCACAGACCCTTTAGGAAAAGCCCTCCCCTCTCGCTGGCCCCTGCTGCGCCGGCCCAGGGGCAGCAAACTTGAGCTTCCCGGGGGCCCCTGGTGGGGCGGGGGCAGTTCCAGACACACCTTCATTGGCCTCTGCCTGAGAGGTTCCTGAGACCGAGAACTTTGGCATTTCGGCCCCACTAATCACCTCCTAAAGGAATTTTACTTGAAGCCTTAACCTGGAATGCTGTGGCATTGGGGATTAAGTTTCAGCGTGAATTTTGGGAGGGCGCGACCTTCAGACACAGCACTCCGCCCCTGGTTCCCCCGAATTCATGCACTTCTCACCTGTGAAATACATTCGTTCTGCATCAACAGTCCCCAGAGCCCCAGCTCATTCCAGCATTGACTCAAAAGTCTAAAGCCTCACATACATCACCTCCATCAGATAGGTGCGAGACGCAAGGCATGGGTCACCTGGAGACAAATTTCCCCTCCATCTTGCGCTTGCAAATCACACAGGTGGGACAGGCGCAGCGGACACTCCAGTTCCAGGAGAAGGAGGCAGAGAGAGGATTGGTAGGTCCCACCTCAGTCCAAAACGCAACGGGGCAAAGAGCATGGCGTCTGGAGCTTGACCACCGTCTTGTTGGACTGCACCAACCACCTCTGGTCACGCTGGGGTGAGTGCCGGACCCAACCCCATGGCAAGCCCTGCCCCCGCGGCTCCACTAGGTGCAGCCCACACAGGGCTCCGGCCCTGCGAGGCTGGCGGTGCAGGCTGACGGCTCAGTAGTCCGCCGTCTGGGGCGTCGCTCCGCCTGTGGCCGTCCGGCCTCCCGCAGCTCACACACTGCACAGCGCAGGCTTAGCCCCGCCGGGACATCTTCCGGGCCACAGCCTGCACCCTCCAGTGCGTGTCCCCAGGTGCTCCCTGGCCGGCTTGAACCAGGGCTCAGGAGGCAGAGGAGTGCGGGGCCAGGAAGCAGGCAGCAGAAAACGCAGGCGGCCCCGAACGGTGATCTCTAGGGCCACAGAGGCTCGCCGGGGCCCTCTCCTGGAACTGTTCTGTCCTGAAGGCCCCGGCACGCTGGGGCTGTGGTGGGAGTGGCGGCCTCGCAGCTCTCCAAAGGGCTTTCGGAGTCACTGCACAGCCGCGCCGCCTCCTTAGCAGGCGTCCACTCGGCTACACGCGTGCCGTTCTCTTTTGCACACACCTTTCGAACTTTCACAGCATGGCCAGGCTGGGAATTCCCCAAATCTTTAAGTTCTGCTTGCCATTTGGTGGTAAGTTTCCTCTGTAATTCGCTCTCTTCTCCCAGGTTTTACCACAAGCTGTGGAGAGGAGCCATGAGCACCCTGAGCCCGTTGCTTAGAGATTTCTTGCACCGGATGTCCTGTGCATGCCTCTAAAGTCCTGTCTTCCCCCAAGCAGCAGGACGCGGGCACAGCTCAGCCACGCTCCTGCCGCGGCATCGCGAGGGCGGCCTTTCCCGCAGCCCAGTAAGGCGTCTCCCCGTCACCCCGCACTCCTCGGAACGGCCTTCGCCGCCGCGTTTCTGCCGGCATTCTGACCAAGACACTTAGGCGGAGGCCGAGGCTGCCCTTGGTCCGAGGACTCCTCAGAATGACCCTGGGGCTTGGCTCACGGCGGTCCAGGCTCTCCAGAGTGGACCTCGATCCTCCCAGCCCTGACCCATCGCCCGGATCCAAAACCGCGTCCACCTTCTCAGGTTTCTGCTCTGGCAACACCTCTTCCTGGCATCATCGTCTGCCCTCAGCCTGTCCCGCTACTGGGACAGAACACCTAAGACTGGGCCGTTTCTAAGGAACGTGAATTTGTTTTCCACACCTGGTGATGCTGGAAGTCCCGCAGCAAAATGCCGGAAGGTTCAGCTCCTGGCGAGGCGCAGTCTCTGCTTCCACCATGGTGCCCTGGGGCCGACGCCTCCAGAGAGGAACAGCGAGTCCGCGTCTGGAGGGCACGGGAGGGCTGAGCTTGGCCCCCTGAGCCTTTTATAAGGCTCTAATCCATTTGGCAGCCCGAGCTCAATCCCCTCCTACATGCTGTGCTGGGGATCAGGTTTCAAGGTGAGGTTTGGAGGGTGCCCAAACATCAAGCCACGGCTGCCACCAGGTTGGCGCTCATCTGTTAAGCAGCCAAACATATTTGTTCGTGATAAAAAACAAAGTTCTTTTCTGTCTGCGTAATCATTACTACGCTTCATATTAAGTGTGTATAAATTAGAATGGATGAGGGAGCAGCCACGGACTAACTCGGCCCCCTTCAGCGGCTGCTGGAGTGCGAGTAGGTGAAGCGTCGGCCGCCGAACCTGCCCCAGCTCCCCAGGGCAAACTGCGCCAGGGTGGGCGTCGGATGCTGGGCCCAGGCGCATTGGAGCCCCCGACTCTGCACTTACACCCCCTGTCCGCAACCACAGGAGCAGCTCAACAGGAGGGGCAGCGGAAGCAAATTATTCCAGGTATTTCGTAGTGTTCTTCACCAGAGCTGGCACGCCTGTCTGACTCCATGGGAGGTTCCCCACCTCATCAGAACAACGAATGCGAGCAGCACGTCCCCCAAGTTGTAGATCGTGCTGCAGTTAGAGTTACTGTGTTCTGCCTCCTTCCACCTGGGTGCCTTATAGAACGTGGGGCAAAAGGGAGACCCTTAAAGTGAGCTCAGGGAGAAAGTCGGCACTAACATTTGGGAACATGTTATTTTCTACGATGGGGAATTTTACTTCTCTGTTCTTTTCCCAACTTTAAACAGAAACTATACTGTTTTCCAGAGAAACGGACAGACATAGCTTGCAGAAGCTCAAAGGTTTTCTTGACCCAGTTGATCGTCACTAATCACCAAGGAACTCGCCACTTAGTTTCCTGCACGCTGGACTTCAGTGTCAGACAGCACTTATGTCTGCCACACAGGTAACCGGCCGCGGGCCTGTCTCTCCACGCAGTCCCTCAAATGCTTATTTGTACACCTTTTTGTGTGTCTGTCTCTCCTCCTAAGCAGCAAGCATCATGTATATCGTATTTCCCATTTCATCTCCAGTGTTTGGAACTTGGTAGGTATTTACTAAATACTTAAATAACTTTTGGATTTCATCTGCCATCTCTCTATAAATTATTTCCAAATTACAATCCTAGTTTTCTTAAATGCCAAAATATTAACGGAGTGCAAATGTTTTCGTGTTTTGTTTTTTGCTTTTTTATGTTTGTTTGGTTTTTTATTTTTTTATTTGTTTTGAGACAGAGTCTCACTCTGTCACCCAGGCTAGAGTCCTGTGGCATCAGCCTAGCTCACCGCAACCTCAAACCCCTGGGCTCAAGCGACCCTCCCTCCTCGGCCTCCCAAGTGCTGGGACTACGGGCATGCGCCCCCACGCCTGGCTCAGGGATTGCTCTTGTAATGCTCGAGCCATGGCTATCGGTGTGCCCATCTCCCAGATATTGTCCGCTGTACTCTAGGTGGAGAGAAAGGCAAATCACGGTCATGCACAGCGATGTCCTTAGACTGCACTGAACCAAAGCTAAAGCAAACGCATTCCACGTTGACGGGTCGGCATTTTGATTCTATTTTCTGTGCAAGCAGTAGAGGGGAGGTGAGAATGTCCGACTGTCACAGTGTTAGAGGAGACAGGAGCCCAATGTATGAGGACGCCGCAGTCACGGAAAGGCAGGACAGGAAGGGTCTGCTGCGGGACGGCTGGGATTGGAAGACAAAGAGTGACACGCAGCAGCCACGGCGACGCTGCTGTGGGCACGGGAGTGCAAGCGCAGAGCCTGCGTCTGCAAACTGAAAGAGAAGAATTCACCGTGTGGAGCGCTGGCATCTTTCCTTGTGCTCATTACCTGGCAGCGAATGTTTTTCTCCCCCCATAAACAACCATGAAATGAGAGAAAGTATGTGAAATGTCTGTTCTCAGACACTGGGCACAAGTACAGGGTCCCCTGGGGTCTCCTGCTGGGGACTGCCCAGTGCCTGCGTCTGAGGGAAGTGCCCAAGCACCGCAGGAAGGCGAGGCGGGAGCCAGGCGCGGCGCCCCCGTCACTCTCGGGTCCTCACGGATGTTCTCGGAGCCTGCCGTGCAGTGCTGGGCAGACACCCACCCTGCTCCAAGTGCGGAGCTGGTGACCCTGAACCGAACCTCAGTGCAAAACCAAAGCATGAAACTGCTTCCAGAGACTTGACCTGCAAGCCCAATAAGACGTCGGAGTTCATAAGAATAAAAACATTCAACGCCCGAAAAGGTGAAATGCACAGTCTACCTGCGCACGCCGGGGAAGTGGGAGGTGTGACCCCTGCTACCGGGAAACGTTGACCTGCAGACACAGGCCAAGAAGGTGTTGCTGCGTGGGCAGCAGAATTCACAGGCGGCGACGTTGCTGAGGACGGGGCGGCTGTGTGTTGTGCACTCAGAGACGAGGGACAGGACTGCACGTGGTGAGTGGAGACGCAGCCTGCTCCCCTCCCCCTGCCCCTTCCAGGTGAGCCCTCACAGACAAGACCCCCTCCCCCTCCCGCCACCCAGCTGACAGCATGTCCTGGCCCACCACTGCCACGCCCTGTGACTGTTACTGTCCCCGGGTCGCCCAGGTAACCAGCCCGGGCGGGAGGCTGGGGCCTGAGGAGGCCCTTTGTTCCCTGTCAGAGCCTCCCTGGGGGGAAGTGGCCCCAGCAGCCGGTTCAGACCTGGCTTCCCTGAGGACACTCCGTCTCACCACTCTCTTTGCATGAATCCCCCGGAGCTGGGCCGTGAGGCCGGCAGGGGGGCCAGGTGCCCTCAGGGTCTCCCTCGTGCTGCTCGGGCTCTGGGCACTCCTGGCTTCGGTCCAGGGCTCTCAGGGCCGTCCCTCCTGGCGCTATGTGTCCTCCGAGGTGGTGATTCCGAGGAAGGAGACACACCGTGGCAAAGGCTTCCAGGTGCCAGGCTGGCTCTCCTACAGCCTGCGTTTTGGGGGCCGGAGGCACGTCATCCACCTGCGGCCCAAGAAACTTCTTCAGCCCAGACACCTGCTGGTGATGACGCAGGATGACCAAGGAGCCTTGCAGATGGACTACCCCTACATCCCTACAGATTGCCACTACCTCGGCTACCTGGAGGAGATTCCTCTCTCCATGGTCACTGTTGACACGTGCTACGGGGGCCTGGACGGGGTCATGAAGCTGGATGACCTTGCCTATGAGATCAAGCCCCTCAAGGACTCCCGCAGCTTCGAACACGTTGTTTCCGAGATCGTGGCCGACCGCAATGCGACAGGACCTATGTACAAACTGGGACTCAAGGAGGACGTGGACACCCTGTTCTCCGAGGTGAACCCCAGTGCGGCTCCCCGGGCCTCTCCTTGGGTCTATGCCTCACATGCGTCCACCGTCAGAACCCAAGTCCAGTTTTCCTTGTCCATGTATCGTGTATTCGGTAACATCACGAAGTGTACGGATTGGATAGTGTCGATGTCCAGTCTAGCCGACACCTTCCTTCAAGCTCTCAATTCAGGCTTCTTCCTTTATCTCATAACCATATATAGCCAGAGAGATCCAGCCGCCATGAATGACTTTAGGGTTCCAGGAAGCCCAATGCACGACTATTATGTAAGAGAATTTTATAGGAGGATAACTCTTTCGGGCTCCGTGCTGTTCATTAAAGATGCGCCACAGGACGGCGACGTGGACCCCACGCAGTACGGCATGTGCCACGAAAATAGCCTTGTGTTTGCTGGCTATCTAGACAGACACTATTTCTTGATAGCTGTGGTAGTGTCCAATAAACTTATGAGGAATTACGGTATGTATTATGATCATATAGGGTGTGGTTGCCTCAGAAGAACTTTCTGCATAATGGAGAGATACCCTGGGCTGACGGATTCATTCAGTAACTGCTCCTTTGTCCATTTCCAGCATATCTCTGAACGAGACATAGGGGACTGTCTCTTCCACCCATATGTACAGACTCTTAATAGAAGCGTGACAGACGTTCGTTGTGGCAACTCCATAGTGGAGGAGACAGAGGAGTGTGACTGTGGCTCTCTGAAGCAGTGCTACACCAGCCAGTGCTGTCAAATGAACTGCAGGCTCACGTCCAGAAGCACTTGCCATGTAGGAGAATGCTGCACGAACTGCAGCTACTCTGCTCCTGGAACTCTCTGCAGACCTATCCTGAATATATGCGATCTTCCAGAGTACTGTACCGGGGGAGCCGCATCCTGCCCCACAAACACTTATATGCAAGACGGAACCCCATGCACCGAAGAGGGCTACTGCTACCAAGGGAATTGCACTGACCGCAGTGTGCACTGCAAGGAAATTTTTGGTGTCAGTGCAGTGAACGCTCCGGAGGCCTGCTACGACATAAACACAGGAAGAAACCGATTCGGACATTGTTCCAGAATCTACCATCAGGTGGATTTCAGACCTTGTGCTGCAAAGGACAAGATGTGTGGGAGGCTGCAGTGCACCAATGTCACCCATCTTCCCCGACTTCAGGAACACGTTTCCTTCCATCAATCCGTCATATCAGGCTTCCAGTGCTTTGGGCTGGACAAGCACCGTGGGACGAGAACAACGGATGCTGGGCATGTGAAGACCGGCTCTATCTGTAGCCCTGGAAAGTTCTGTAATAACAGTGTGTGCGACGGGACTGTGGCTGACCTGCAATACGACTGTGCCCCTCAGAAGTGCAATCGCCGAGGTGTTTGCAACAACAGAAGGAACTGCCACTGCCACGTGGGCTGGGAGCCACCACAGTGCGAGAAACGAGGTTTTGGTGGGAGTGTAGACAGCGGACGCCCTCCAAGAAAAATACGAGCAATTCGACAAAGTAAGGCGTCATTAGTCTATTTGAGACTGGCCTTTGGTCGTCTTTTTATCTTGATAGCTGCATTGCTCTTTGGGGTGGCCACAAGTGCACGAACGGTTACGACTACCAAAGTTGAAAAAAAGACGATTACATCCTGAGCCCACAAGAAACAAGCCTCCTGCCAAACCCTTGTAAAATTATAGGCACTATGGTCGGAACATCTAGGAAAGACAGTTGCTACAAGGGATGGCCACGCTCACGTCCACATGTCTTGCAGTCTGCAGGAGACTCAGGGGTCTTCTCACATCATAGGAGCAAGGGAGGCGTCGACTTCTGTCACACGTTCTCTTTTTAGCTGGCTGGCGCTCACTCTGAAATAAAGCTTCAAAACCAGATGTTGGCGTCTTCTACCTCTTTTTATAGGCCGTTAGGAGCCCAAACTGAGCTTGAGCCTGTGACCAGGAGAGGTGACCTGAGTCAACTACTGGGTCCTGACCTGAGGTCACTGGTCCCAGAATTAATCGAAGTTGCCACCAGCTCCTTGAAGGGCACATCCCTGGCGTTTCTCCACAGTGTGCACCTGAGCAATGAGCTTTTCCTCATTCTCCAGGTAATCTGTCCTTCTAAAACCCAAAGTGGGTTTAGGCCAATCCAGGGCTGCTCCCTGCCAAAGCTGCCTGTTCCTCACTGGGGTGGCTGTGGGCTTTGGGGTGAGGGGCACGTGGGCCCAGACACCCCACTGAGCAAGAGCTGTGCCCTCCTGGAGCCCACATTCTCCTGGCGGGAAACTGAGATTGTGGGGCTGAACGGTGCATCCAAGGAAGTTCAGTCAGAAAAATAAATAGGCAGAAGTGCCCAGCAGGGTCTCTGGCATTGAGCGGGAGTTCCGTGAACGTCCGTTCCTCCCTCCCTTCCTCACGCCCCATTTCAGTGACGTGAGAATGCAGGTACACTGAGTCACTTGCAACGAATAACAGAAGCCAGGCTTTCAGAAGAGTAGGCAGATGCCCCGTGTATCCAAATACATTAAAAATTATTTCATAAAATAAAGTGCAATTTATGAAAATAATTGCATCAGTAAATAAATTATTTTTATATTAAAATTTTAAATGATATCTGTTTTTTTCATTGCGATGAAGACACATCATTTAAAAATTGTTTTCCAAATCATTAAAATTTTTATTAAAGAAAAATAAAGCTAGATGTTTAGCACATCGTTTAAAATTTAAAAGACATAGCCCACAAACCTAAGAAATTGCACTCCCCATTCCCCGCTCAGAAAACGGCTTAGTCTACAGTGAGACTGATTTCAGCCTTTCTGTGAACACATGCACAGTTAACACTGTACTTCTTTTGTACGCTGTTTAGAGACCTCCCACCGCTTCTCCAACACACCCTGCTGTCCCGTCTTCCACCCTTCTCCTAAACCCCATCCAGCCCACATTTCAGATGCTGCTGCTCCACTCCTGTGCCTCTCTCGGCGTGTTTCCTCGCTTCCTGAGAGAATGGGAATGGGACACTGAAAAGTGAGCCCAGGGAATAAGGTGTGCAGCCCTGCCCGGTGGGAAGACAGCACCGGAGGGGTTCCCTGCTGACAGGGCGGAGAGACGGCCAGCGGCCAGGCTCCGGGCTCCGGGCTCCAGCTCCGGGCAGGGCCATGGCCGGGAATGACCGGACTGCTCTGCCGTGAGGCCAGGCTACAGTCTGTGCCCCTCGGGGCTCAAGGCCACGGGGCCATCCTGGTTCTCCACTGCGCAGCCTGAAGTACCGAGGCTCCCTTCCCTGTCCCCCTCTGGCGGGGACGAGCCCAGCCCCAGCGCCTGCACACCCCACGTGCTCCCGCTGCGCCCCTGCGCCCTGCGCATCTCTCCTGGGCACCGTCCACCAGGGCAGCCGCCTTCTCCTCTGCTTTGCCTGATCTGCTGTGAACCCACCTGCTGCGACTGCTGTTCCGCGTCCCGTCGGATTTCTATGTTAGGGATTCTGATATTCCATCACACAGCTGTTCTCTTCATCATAAATGTCTCATTTCATGCTCCGTGATTTCAGGCTCAGGACCTGCTCAGCTGAGGGCCCTTCCCGCTCTGTTTTCCTCTCCTTGCGTTCCTGTGCGTGGTCTCACAGCCTGTCTCCTGCTGTGACTGATAGTCTCCTCTCCTCTCCCCTCCTCTCCTCCCCCCCTCCCTCCTCCCTCCTCTTCTCCCTCCTCTCCCTCCTCTCCTCTCCTCTCCTCCTCCTCTCCTCTCCCCTCCCTCCCTCTCTCTCTCCTCCTCTCCTCTCCTCTCCTCTCCTCTCTCTCTCCCCATCCTCCAATCCCTCTCCGTCACCTGAGGAGAAGGAGAGAGGAGTTTGGTGAATTTGCTGGCAGATGAGGAGGACAGAGACTCCCGTCTGAAATGCCGTCGTCCCAGCGATGAGAAGAAATGCAGAGAATTGAAGGGAGGCCCTGCTGCTCCGGGCCACAGCTGTTCCGGGCCGCTGACGGTTCTGGGGGTTCCTCCGACGCACAGCGGCCCTCGGCGCTGTGTGCCCAGGGAGGGCGCTGCCAGCACCCGCGACCCTCAGGTCACCAAGTCCACCGGGTCCGGTCCTGGAGACACGGGTCACCAGCTTCCCACTGAAGGGTCCACGCGAGGAAGTTCACGGGTGACCACAGGACATTGTGCCGTGGCTCCGGGTGCAGGTGGCAGGAAGCAAAGATTCCCCCGGGGGGCAGTGCCACGGAGTAGCCAAACACGGTGCTACCTGGAGCTGTCCCGCCGTCTCTGCCGCTGTCTGTCCATGGCGTCCAGCAGCAGCACGTATGAGGCATCGGGGTGCTCGCGCCTTGGCCTCGAGTCCCAGCCAGAGATTGGGGGACCCTCTCTGAGCACACAGCCACGGTGCAGGCGCCGTCTCTCTCTCTGCCTCTCTCCCCGCCTCCCCAGAACGTGCAGCACCCAGCCGCGGCCCAGCCCCAGGGCCCTGTCCCAGCAACCTGGCAAGGAGCTCTAGCTGGGTCTGCACATGCTGCCAGGA